CTTCTCGGGCTCCTTGCTCTGCAAAACAGCTGAGAACTCAGTTATTTGATAATATTGAAGTACTAACACGGAAATCTGGATAAGTTGTTATATGTTAATATTTTGTTTCAATTGTTGAGTGTCCGTTCTAATATATTTATCGTGTCTGTTTAAACATGAGTGTCACGAAGGAAGTGCAAATATAGTAGTGATTTATTCTGTTATATTTGTGGTATTCATATATCAAAAAAAAAAGAAATATCACAGACTTTAAGGAAACACATGCTGAATATTTTGGTTTTAAAATGGACAAATTAGATGAATCATGGGTTCCTAATAAAGTTTGTAAGTCTTGCGTTGAGTCTTTGCGGTTGTGGAAAAAAGGGGAACGTTTTGGATTAGACTTTGGTATTCCTATGATCTGGATGGAGCCTAAGAATCATTTCGATGATTGTTACTTTTGCGTAATAGATGCTAAAGGTTTTAATCAAAATCAAACGTGGAGATATCCAGACTTACAGTCTACAAAATGTCCTGTTTTACACAGTGAAAATCTCCCTCGGCCTATTTATGTTTCAAAAGTGATTCGCATGCCCTCAGAAACAATGATGTTGCCAAATTCACAGAAATCGAATCAGTCTACCAGTGGAAGTGAATGGGAGGGTGAAACATCTACGCCAAAGTTGTTTTCTCAAAATGAACTCAGTGATTTAATACGTGATCTAAATTTATCAAAACAAGGATCAGAACTGTTAGCTTCAAGATTGAAAGAANATCTGACGTGTTTCGGGATTTTGTTAAAATATTTACCGCAACCGAAATAATGAATTTATTCCATTTGGTTTTTACACACTCTATGTTCTATTTCATTTTATAATTCAGTATTCAGGTATGATTTGTAAACAAATTTTTATATGTATATTAGGTTTCCTATTTCAATAAACAATTTTGATTTCAGTAGGTGTTAAAATTTGGGATTATTGCTCTATGATCAAGTAGATTTGAATTAAATTTACTGTGCAACAAGAAAATTGGTAATTATGACAGATCTCAAAAGTAGGTAGAAATTGTATTCATTATTCTCCCGTTTTATGATTTTTTCTTGAGAGGTAAATAGTTTGGTAATGAATGTATCATTTAGGAATTTGTCAGGTAGTAATAGTTAAAATGATTCAAACTACTATAAAAGCCCCACACAGAATTTGTAAAAACAGTATTGTGACTCCTGAAAATGCTATCGTATAAAGGTTCTGTAAACTTCCAAGTGACAATCTTTCATTGAAGTGTGTGTTTTGAATGCGTTTATAAGTAAAGTATCCCAAAAATGTAGATATCAAGCAAGGAGTATTGTTTCCAATGAATTAAACGATAAATATCGTAAGCGATATGCATTATCTATTCTGTTTTGACTTGGAATTCCATTGCAAACTTGATGAAAAATGATAAAGGCTTACTCTATTTTTGATATTTGGTTAGAATTCACAATAACACTTTAGGTTGAGAACAGAGTTGGCAATGGATTGAGGTAGAAATATATTGAGTGTCTCAATTGTTTTTCTGTTAGCACCACGTAAATCGGTGAATAAAAACACAATGGTGTCGATCTGAGTTTGATCACACTGTATATTTCAAAATTATGGTAGAGATGCGCAGATCTTTTGGTCAATTCGTAGATTTTTCATAACCTAATGTTTTTACTGCTTCTGTATTTTAGTCATTTTTAAGCTCTATAATTTTGATTATCTAAATTATAATACGTTAAAGCTTTATAATTTTGATTATCTAACTTATCAGTGATGTATACAATCAAAATTATATATAGCTTTAACGTATTTTGGACAAACAACAGAAAGAGTGGCGTCATTTTTGAGGAAACGAGATATTAAAATTGCATATAGAACAAGTAATTCGTTGGGAAAGGTAGTTAAAAATAATAAAGACAAAACATCCAAATTCGAGAAACCAGGAATATATAACTTAAAGTGTGGTCAAACTGGCAAAACATTGAGGAATCGAATCCAGGAACATCATATGAGCTATGTAAATGAGAAAAAAAGTTCAACATATTCAAATCATGTTTTAGAAGAAAAACATATCTTTAACGAAAAGTTCGAAATTTTACACAATAAAGGTTTGAAACTGAATCATCTGGAAGTAATGGAAATTAATAAACTTGAAAGATCAAAAATTCTAATGAATGACCAACTGGATCTGAATAGACTACCAATATTGAACTTGTTTTCTTAAAAAACCGAGAAAG